ATAGATAATGTTAATGTAAATATAATTCAATGGGTCTGGTTTCTGTGCTTAGAATAAACAACCATTCTGTGGTCATTCGGACTACTAGCATTAATATGTGTTTACAGAAGACATGGATCAATTCCGGGTCAGTTTATCTGACGGGAGAAGTTTGGGCCGAGATGGTACACCATTTTTCTTCTTATGCGTTGATGATAAATATAACATGTTTTAATGAGGTTTCTTGAAAACCGTTTGCTTGGCGAGGTCAAAGTCTTCGTAGGAAAGTGCATCAGTCCACCTCCAACTCGTCAACCCCTGTGTTCCTTCAATTCGTCTAAAAACCGACTTGGAAATGAAGAAATCAAATCAACTTTCCTTATTGAATAAAAATGCACGGGTTAAACCATCACTTGTGTCTGCCGAGGCCGGTCCGTCACTTGTGTCTGCCGAGGCCGGTGATTAAACAAACAGTGGGGTTTTGTTTAGACACATATCTGGTCGGTTTTCAAGTTAAGGAGGTTCCAGCCTTTCGTAATAATCAACCAGCAGAATCCGATGGAAGTTGGAAGCTCACATGATTGCTATACAACCATATGGACAATTTTATGGAAATCTCAGCTTTCTAAAAACTGTTTCTGTTACGGAAATACGGAAATGACGACACGGAAATGTGACAAGAAAACATGTTTAAATCATCAATATGGATATTCATGGGATAATTTAGTCATATGTTTTAAATCATTGCCTTTAGAAGCAAATGTATAACATCTAGTGAGAACAATTCGCTATACCGCCAAATTCAACATCCTCAAAAAAGTGGCAGTATAACGAGGAAACAAGGGAAACATTGTCAGGGCAATATCTTGTTATACCGTCAGATGTTGTCCGATCTACAAATGATGGTCTGTCGAATTTTGTGATATATCAGTTTGACGAATGGCGATGTACCGATTTAAGTGATTAAGGATTCGGGCGCTTTATCGAATTTACCCATATATCGAATAAATAATGGATCAGGACTAGAATTTCTCTCACTATTTGAAAAGATGACCAGATTTATCATAGTATATTTACATTTAGTCTGCAACACAAATTTATAAAAAAAAAAAACACTACAAAATCAGCTGGGATTTTTAGACCATAAATCTGGACTGATGACCATGACGTCATTATAAATGTGACGATAACTGACTGATATCCGATGCTGGATGCTCAATGAATTAATAATCTACCTCAAATTTTGACGAAGAAGTAGGAAATTTTAATATCAATTTTGTCAAAAATTTGAAAAGTTTTAATGAAAGGACTGAGCTGCTTTCTGTCCGGAGTAATAGTACTATAATTCTGTACAAGATAACAGATCGGAGTAATATTACTATAATTCTGTACAAGATAACAGATCGGGGTAATAGTACTATAATTCTGAACAAGATAACAGATCGGAGTAATAGGACTATAATTTTACAAGATAACAGATAGGAGTAATAGTACTATAATTATGTACAGGGGGACAAGATCGGAGTAATAGTACTATAATTATGTACAAGATAACAAGTTCGGAGTAATATTACTATATTTCTGGACAGGATAGCAGATCGGAGTAATAGTACTATAATTTTACAAGATAACAGATCGGAGTAATAGTACTATAATTTTACAAGATAACAGATCTGAGTAATAGTACTATAATTCTGTACAAGATAACAGATCTGAGTAATAGTACTATAGTTCTGTACAAGATAACAAGATCTGAGTAATAGTACTATAATTTTACAAGATAACAGATCGGAGTAATAGTACTATAATTCTGTACAAGATAACAAGATCTGAGTAATAGTACTATAATTTTACAAGATAACAGATCGGAGTTATAGTACTATAATTTTACAAGATAACAGATCGGAGTAATAGTACTATAATTCTGTACAAGATAACAGATCGAAGTAATAGTGCTATAATTCTGTACAAGATAACAGATCGGAGTAATAGTACTATAATTATGTACAAGATAACAAGATCGGAGTAATAGTACTATAATTTTACAAGATAACAGACATATATTTCATGAAGCGCTTATTTTATTTGTCTGCCATTCTGTTCATGATTATGGGACTATATCTCTGAAAAGAATGCGGTGTATGCTGAATTACACACATGGTAATATTTTTTTTCTTATTCAGGTAGGCTGGTATAATTTCTTGTTTTGCAATTGTGTGCAAGCTGGGGTATGTAACGGGGAGAGAATTAAACACCGACACGTGCATTACACTGTGTATGAGATCACATTTAATTATAAACGCCGCCAGCAAGACTGGAATTGTTTTTGATGTGTGAGGTTTAAAGATAAAAGTAAATACAAATTATGCTTGACTTTCATACGGAAGAATTCACATTTCATACCATTAAATAGTTGAAACGGACCATCACAAAAGAAATTAAATCATTTGGCGGTCTTACAAATAGCATTAATGCAGTCCTACATAGTTTGATTCGACGTATGATTTTCATTTAGCAATGGCATCATAAGAGTTGTTTAGTATTGGAGAAGATGTAACTGTGCAATTTATGATTGACACAAGTTATGCATAATTGCAGTTTATTAGCTCACCTGGCCCGAAGGGCCAAGTGAGCTTATGGCATGGTGCGGCGTCCGTCGTCCGTCCTCGTCCGGCGTCAACTTTTTACTTTAAACAACTTCTTCTCAGTAACCAAAAGACCTAGTGTGATGATAATTGGCCAGAAGCATGCTGGGATAAAGGGCTACCAAGTTTGTTCAAAGAAATGACCTTCATCAGTTTTCAAGGTCACAGGGGTCAAATATGTTAAAAAAAATAAACAACTTCTTCTGAATAACAGAGAGGCCTAGGGTGATAATATGTGGCCAGTAACATGCTGCAGGGAAAGGCTACCAAGTTTGTTCAAATACATGACATTGACTAATATTCAAAGTCACAAGGGTCAAATATGTTTAAAACATATAAACAACTTCTTTTGAATAACCAAGAGGCCTAGGGTGATGATATTTGGCCAGTAACATGCTGGGATGAAAGGCTACTAAGTTTGTTTAAATAAATGACCTTGATTTATATTCAAGGTCACAGGGGTCAAATATATATAAAACCTTTAAACAACTTCTTCTGAATAACCAAGAGGCCTAAGATAATGATATTTGGCCAGTAACATGCTGGAATGAAGGGCTACCAAGTTTGTTCAAATGAATGACCATGAATCATATTCTAGGTCACTGGGGTCAAATATGTTGAAAACATTTTAACAACTTCTTTTGAATAATCAAGAGGCCTATGGTGATGACATTTGGCCATTAACATGTTGTAATGAAGGGTTACCAAGTTTGTTCAAATGAATAACCTTTGCCCATATTCAAGGTCACAGTGGTCAATATATGTTTAAATCTTTAAATGATTTGTTATGTATAACTAAAACGTCCAGGGTAATGATATTTTGCTAGAAGCATGCTGGGTTGGAAGACTATAAATTCTGTTCAACCTTATGTCCTTGTTCGACATTCAAGGTCACGGGTGTCATATGTTTAAATGTTTTTATATGTTCTTACTAATCAAACACTGATATTCTGCCTGTAGTTGTATTTTAGTCCACTTTTAAGATAACAAGTGTGAAATTAATACCAGGTGAGCGATTCAGGCCCATTGAGCCTCTTGTTTTAGACAGTATAGCTATGTATATGAGCAATGCCCTTGTAATGCCATGACGGTAATTGTATTAAATATGCAAGTTTTAGGCAGGTAATATAGGATCATAGGGCGTAGATATAATTTTAAAATCAAACTGTTTGCATGCGACAAAGCGAGAATTGTTGTTAGCATTGAACTGGTTTCAGTTGACATTCATAGGCAGTAGTATTTAATGAAACGCACTAGTTCATAGGTTGGATTTGTCTTTGTCCAGTTGGCATTCATATTGCATTTGAATGCCAACTGAAAGCAGTTTATTACTGATATTTACCAATTTTGAAATCTGAATATCTCAGAAAATTAGGTTACACCTATCAGTATTTAGCATTTAGTTCAAATAATGGATTTATCGTATGTGCTTGTTCAACGAATAGAACAGTCAGACGTCCAGGGGGTCAGTGATATCTAACGTAACAGTTATGACGTCATAATAATGATGACGTCAGCAATCGGCTCATGCAATTCATAGCCTTTATGAATGACATCTGAATGTGGTAAGGTGATTTAAGTATTAAACTGTCTTCTTTGGAAAGTTCTTGTACTATAACTCTCACAGGATTGCAGACAAATTGAATAACACGCGTTATGATTAATTTGTCTGCAATCCTGTGAGAATTATAGGACAATAACATTCCAAAGAAGGCAGTTTGAAACAACTTATATTTACGTTTTTAATTTAAGATTTAATTTTATTTCCAACCTGTTATCGCATTTTAAAGTCAAATTTCGCGCTGTCTGTCTATGGGACCTGTTCTTGTGACGTCACGAGTACACGCGACCGTTCCCAGCAAAAAAAAAATAGTTCGGGGAAATAAACACAAAATCATCAATTTCATTTCAACAATTTAATCAATATATTCCACCGTAGGAATATTCACCTTTTATACAACATAACTACATAAATTGCTGCGAGTTACATTGATCAACTGGGTTTTTTAATTCAGTAGCACGGATGGCCGGTTACCACGAGGAATGCATATTGCGACAATTATTTCGTGACGTCAATAATACACTTATAATAGTGACGTCGGTCAAAACGACGTCATGAAAATGTTCTTCATATCACTACACCAATGGGAATTATGTGATAATTATGATATGATATCTTTCTTTTTTGTTTGGTAAGGAACTTATATAGCGGGAATGCAGAGCAAATGGAAATATATAGTGGTAATGCCATACGATTGTGACGTCATAATATTTGGTTGAAATATCCCTTTAATGTCTGAAATCAATTAGCAGTTCCTTTCCATGCATCAGCTCGAAAAAGTATCTAACACCTAGTGTGATTTTGTGTATTTTCAGTTAGGTTCTCCGACAATGTGAAACGTCATCCGAAGTACCTATCCGGTGAGTGGACGGAAGAGGAAACACTGCGCAGCTTCCTGGATACCATTGACGACCAAAATAACCCGGATGGAGTAGTGACGCGAGAGGAATTCCTAGATTACTACGCTGGAGTCAGCGCACTTTATGATGATGACGCGTACTTTGACCTCACAATGAGGGCGTCATACGGTCTTCCGAAGAAAGGTTCAAATAACAACAAAAAATAGACATAAGAACCATTTGAGATTTATAACAATGATTTTGACAAAAGAAGTGCATTCTTTTATGTGTAAATAATTGGCATTTAAAAATATACTTTTGGCCGTATTCTTTCCCCTGAGGAACTTTTTTGGATCTTCTTTTATATGAAAAATGAACGTGAATAACAAAATTGTATTTATTTCTCTATGCATGTGGCTTATGTTCAGACAAGAAAGTGTGCATATTATTTATGCCAAATCTAGAGGGTTTCCGATGGAAATGAAGACATTATATATGAAGTATATTGGACAAATCCAGAGGGTTTCCGATGGAAGTTAGAAGTGAAGAAATTATATATGGCGTTTCTAGGACAAATCTGATGGGTTTCCGATGAGACTGTGAATATTCTACGGAGACAGAGCCTGAGAGATCACAAAAAAACTTCTATCTGGCCAATATGTGTAGATATTAGGACATACCATTTAGGTCGAGAAAAGAATCATTTGTCTGGTTAAAATGCATATAAAGATATTTTTTGAACATGTTTTGTTTGGTAACAGGGCAGATTTGGATCCGGATAAATAGAACAATTGTTTTAACGACAGTGAGCCTGAAGTTCGAATGGAGGATTATAGTTGTGTCAAAAATGTGAGGAAAGCTTTTTTTAACGACTGAAAACTTATTCTTGCAAACATTTTTTTCAAATTTTCAAATGTCATGTATAAAATTACGCTTGATTTCTATCATCACAACAGACACTTTAACTAAAAGACCGGCAGTGTCTTGTATACACGTTTTAGTGACGTGTACCTCATTGGAGATGGTTTAAAGTAATAGACACTTCTAAACGGGAATCAAAGTATGATAAAATGTTATCATCGTCACCGATATAATGCTTCAGCTGTCAAATTAAAATACGAACATTCGGTAGTTCGGACAAAGATGATCGGGAAAATTCAATTTTCAGACACAAGCTTACCTGCCTTGATACCGTTTCTCCCCACTAGGCGTCGCTCTTCGATAACTAGTGATGAGAATAGAAAAAAACCCACAGGTAATCTGGTCTTTCCAGACGCTTGTAATTAAGCATTAGACATCTTTTCCATGATATAGACTGTCTAATTTTAAATACCAGCGATCACCTCCCTTTAATATTTTCATGGAATACCTTATAATATGAATCCGTGTATATTTTTCAAACATTTGTCACCAGTCGATATTTTCAACCATAATTGATAGTTTACGGAGTCATTAATGTAGAACTCTTTTAAAAAGGAGTATTAAAACATATAAGGTAACGTACAGCTTTAAGCGATCTTTTCACTGTTTAACTGATCTGTCATATTCTCCAGTCCCGATTTTTTTGTTCGCAAACCGGGATGTCCGAACTCACGAGGTTATTTTAACAGTAATGTTTTCCAATAAAACGAATCAAATGATGCAACCACAATTTTTATACTTATTTATTCTTTTTGTATAAAATGTATTTTTAAAAGAAAATCTGCATTTATTTAATCCTGTATGTTTGTACAATTTAACTTTGAAAATATGTATATATCTTAATTTGTAATTATGATTAAAATATGTATATATCTTAATTTGTAATTATGATTAAAATAAAAATAAAATGCCGTCTTCAGATCTTTAAATAATGTTTCAAACACCAAACACATTTTTATTTGCTTATCATGAAGATGTGTGCTTAGTTACATAACTACAGAAACTTCAAATGTTATATATACTTTTGATTTTAAGGCCAGACAAAAAACTGTGTTTCTTGTAACATGTTGGAAAAATTTAGGATAGGTAGGTAACAAGTTTTATTTTTAAAATTAATTTTATTTGGAAATTGCCTTAAACAGTTTAGGGTAGACACAAAAAATAAGGGTAGGTAGGGCTAGCGGCAACACCAGATATTGTTTGTTTGGTATAAGTTCACGGCATCGTTGGTAAAATAACCCCTGACCTAAATGACGTTAACAGCTACGTGTGTTGGAAGGCAATCATCAGAGGTCCAACAGAATAAAAAAAACACAGGCAAAAAAACACAGGCAAAAAAACACCAAGACCGAAGGCACACGTCTTCTTGATATTGATCGCTTATTTAGAAAAAAATACATACTATTATTTTTGTCTTCTCGGTTCTCTTGTGTGAAGACTCCATGCTGAAGGATCCCCGTACCACTGCTAACAATGGAACTAAGTATAAGAAACTGATTCGTTGTTTGACGGCATGATTACAGCTTTGATAAATCATTTCCGATTTCCGATAAACAAAAGTGTTCTGAGTGAGAAATTCAGCGGGGCTTTACCCAGATTCGAACCCCGAACTTCATATTGTTATACTGGCGCTACAACCGACTGAGCTACCTGGTCAATGGAAGTGTCCTGGTCCAACTGTTATATCCATCGCTCTAACCGATTGAGCTACCTGATCAATAGAAGTGTCCTGGTCCAACTGTGCTACAATTAATGAAAAATCACGAAATTGTTATTTCCAACCCTGACCACAAAGCATCAGCACACATGCATGGTTTGGCACCGAACAATTCAAATAACCACTACTAAATAATAGTATTACTGACAGCCAAACTTTCTCCTTCACTTTTAACCTCACCCAACACATTTAAAGTTAAGCCCATCAGGGGCTGCGGTAGCCAAGTGGTTAAGGCGTCTGACATTCTGCTACCACTTGCCCTCCACCACTGGATGGCGGGTTCGAGACCTACGTGGGGCAGTCGCCAGGTATTGGCCGTAGGTCATAGGTTTTTCTTTGGGAACTCCGGCTTTTCTCCGCCACCAAATGGCACGTCCTTAAATGACCATAGCTGTTAATAGAACGTAAAACACAAACAAACCAAAAAAACCGCTAAAACGCGTTTGCAGTAACTATTACTTATTCAAATCCAATTCCAGACAGTTTGTAAAATTACACAAACTTACCAACCATCCCTACTCTCCCATACCGCTAAAAATAAACACATATAGATATTTAATTACCAATAAAACAAACACTAACCAACCATCTTATCTCTCCGATACCACTGAATATTACCAAAAAAAGCTAAAATAAACACGTTTGTACAATTACACCAAACTAACCAACCATCCCAACTCTCCGATACCACTTAACATTACCACATGGACACGCTTGTTACAACGACTCCACACGTACCAACGACTCCACACGTACCAACGACTCCACACGTACCAACGACTCCACACGTACCAACGACTCCA